CGCACCAGCTGACTTTATTAAGTATTCTAATAAATAAACAAATGGCAGCCTTGTTAGGCCTAGCGCCACATTTAAATTGTTGATAATTCTACAATTATTGCATTCAGATTAAATAAAGGCGTAAAAACTTTAACCGGAACATAGTTCAACCATTTTAAAGCAAAAGATGTATATTTTTTTCAATATATAAGAAAAAAATACTGAGCTCAGGGAGCCAGGTAGCAGAGAGGTTATATGTATGTTTGGTGCTCTCGACTGCAATGAAAAAGAGATATTATAGCAGGAAATAAAAATAGATTAGTGGTTAAACAGTAGATTATCGCCCAGAACTAAATCAACAGCCGTACATAATAATTTTGATATTGCGTCTATGCCAAACATTTTAAAAGAACCAGCAGGGAACTGGGATAAAGCTATTATTCTGATAAGAGATAGGCCCAGTAGTAATAAGAAAACTCTAAGCAGGGTTTCTTCTCTGAAGAAAAGGAAGTATTCTGATGAAATTTCAGTATGGATTTTAATTCATACATATGCGGATAGCCTCAATCGTCTTTGTTTAATAAGCAGGAAAGTTTTTACCAAATGGAAATAGGAAACTTTTTTTAATGTTGCATCATTGAACGATTGAACATCCCAATTACAAACAAAATTAATAAGCGTTTTTTTCAGCGACTGTCTAAAGGTTCTAAGTCTTATCTACTATCAGTTAACACAGATGTAAAGCTTCCTATAGGCAATGTTATCACGTTGCTAAAAGTGGTAAAAGGCAAAAAATTGCTAAAAAATATGATGTATTTGAATGCATGTTTTGAGAAGCACATATTCGAAAAATTAGCAGTCTTCACTTCTCAAACAAAATAAAAAAATCAGCGAAATATCTGACAATTTTTTTTTTAAATCACAATATTAAAAATAGTCTATTTTTCCTGTGCATGTTAATGAAAGCATCATTATGCTGAACCTTTTGAAATCCAGTCTTAAATTTGTTTAATTTAGTATGCAATAATTCAAATATAAATTCACTTTGATATAATTAGATGTTTAATATTTTACTGTGGTACAACACTATTTCAATAATGCTTAAAGTTTCAAAATACGTCTCAAAATCTCATCAATAATCTATCGACTTAATGATTATAAATTTCCGGATATTTTCAGTTACCAAGAATTCAGTATATTTCGCAATGATAAACAAACTGCCGGTAGTTCACCAGTATTACGTTTTTCCAAAAAAATGTGTTGAAAATGTAAACGTAAATAATGCAAAATTGAAAATTTATTATTCAAAACATGCGGACACTACAGAAACATATATAAAAATAAGTTTATATAGAATAAGAAGTATAACATGATCTAACGCAAACACTAAATATAATTCAAAACAATTTTTGATATGCAATAAATCAGCGGTTCTAAACCTTTTGACTAACGCGTTCCAGCTAAACAAAACTTGAAACTTTTTAGCACTACCACTACATTTTGCAATGATTATTTTTCAAATACTCAATAGAAGTATTTAAAATATATATATACTTGTATTTTGCCAGTTGCACAGCTTATCGGCTATTCGTATGAAATATGTACACATAAAAAATATTAAATTAAAAATTGTTTACTATTTTAATCATCAAAATATAAATTATAATACTTAAAGTTTAAAATTTAGTGTCAAATTTGGGTCTGTTTAAGAGAGATCAATTTCTTTATGTCTGTCCTTATTTCACTGAGCTATAAGGTATTTCTACCATCCTTCCTAGCGTGCCTTCGTGGTGTAGTGGTCAGCACACTGAGCCGGTATTCAGACGTCCGTGGTTCGATTTCCGGCGAAGGCAGTTGCATATTTTTCATCTTTCCAGCCTCGAAAAATTCCTCCAGTGGCGCCCTAACTAAAAGGGTGGTCGATGAGGATTTCTCCCCACCCAGGGCTTGGCGATTGGGTTCCCTAAAAACCCCAGTCGCCCTTTAAAAGGGGGAGTATATAAGGTATTTCTCCCCGCCTTTTTGGCGTGCCTTCGTGGTGTAGTGGTTCTGCACGCTGGGCCGGTATTTCAGAGGACCGTGGTTCGATTCTCGGCGAAGGCGATTGCTAATTTTTGATCTTTCCGGCTTTTCAAATTAACCTAATGTCTCTACATCAATTTATTTAATTAATGTAGAGACTAATTAAATAAATTAAATAATAATTTAATTTATTTAATTAAATCCATGTAACGTAAATTAGGATCCACTTTTAATTTTGTTCTGCATTTGTACTGTGTTTAAATAAAACATTGAAAAAAATCCTTGTTCACACAAATAGATTGTGCAAAAAGGAAATAACAATTTAATAGTTTTATTAGAGACGCATTTAAATTCTTTTTATATTTTGGTTCAGTCAAAAGTTAACCAGTGTGTTATTTTTGAAATCTTCAGTTCGTTTTCGATCACAGGAAATTTCTTTCAACTGTTCTTTTTTCACAAGATGTCACAATACATTTCATACATGGTTTTTTTTTTTTTTTTTTTTTTTTTTTCTTGTGTTGAGTTAATTCAGTTTCTTTATTCTTTAAGGTTACTGTTACGAATTTTGTATTTAGTTAGATATTTTTAGTAGAATTATAATTAAAATTGTTCTTCTTCCCCGTGCAATGCAGCGCGAGATAATTTTAAGATAAAGCTACGTCGTAAAGAGTAAAAATATAGGAGTACATGGATTTAACATTGCATAAATGGATATCTCTTTAATTTGTATTGAACCTGAATAAATGTAATTGACTACTGTGCTCGCTGTAATCGGAATTCCATTCTCTTGTTGGCTTCCAGAAATTTCGAGAAACAAAGGAATTACTAGAAATTTTTCGCCACCGATTGAAAGCTATAAAAGGCTGGAGTTTTAGTTGTTTAGTTAGTTGCTTAGTTACTGTTGTTGCGATTTGTAGTTGCGCGCGAACTGAAATAAATCGGAGTTAGTTTTCTCTTTAGATAACGCTGTGCACTATGTTGTATTTTAACGTTTTTAATAGTTTAAGCTATAGCAACTGATTGATTATATTACTTGATATTTTGAAGACTTGTACGAATATCTCTAAGGAAAATTCCGGTATTCTGTTATATTTCTTTTGATCAGAACAAATTTTGGTACTTTTCCATTTTGCCGGCGAAAGCGATAAAGTCGCCAAAAATGGTACAACCGAAGCCGAAACGGAATATTCTCGCTGGTAACTTTTTACGCCTCATTTTCAAAAGAAGTCGCAGCCATTTCTTATCAGATTGATTGTTTCTTTCAATATTGGCATATATTTACATAGAAATTTTACCCGGATAGTTCAATTTTATGCCCTAAGGCCATTCGCAGTAATTAGTCAATTAGGATGCAATCACACCGCTTACCCGAAGGCGAAAATATAGAAAAGGCAAAGTGGAGGGTAAAATTCATCCGTTCTAATAAGAATGCACTAGCGAAATAAAGCACTGCGGTTTTATATAATTTTCTGAGTAAGCTATTCGTACGAATTGAAATAATTCTTGCATTTAAATTTGTATTCCAAATTTAGATTTAACTTGAAATTAATGTAAATAATTACTGAGAGAATCAGATTTTTGTAGCATAGTTTACGTCAGATGAGATCACTTGAGATCACGTGATATGAAACGGCGAATCAGGATGCTGTACCATGAAAGCATCTAGTAAATTCCTAAATTAATCTCTTTTTACAAATTTATCGACTTCATTTATTGTCTTTTTAGAAAATTTTAAACGATATTAAAATGTTTATGCCTTTAAAATAAAAATTTCTTAGAACAAACATTTTTTATTTGTATACTGTGTGTTGTCGCCAAAAGAGTCTGCTTGGCGAGATTTGCGCCTACGAAACGGAAAAAGTACCCAAAATTTATATTCTTCTATCGGACTTGTACATTCAATCTATTACAAAAGTCCATAAGTCTTATATTAGATTCCTCAGAGGCTGGTAAGGCAAAATATCAGGTAACACTAAAAGCCATTTTGTGTAGTTGCATTGATTTTAGGAGTATTTATACGAAACAAAGAACACAAAGTAATTATACCCTGGATATATTATTTGATAGCTTATTAATTAAGATAAATTTTCTTCATCTACATGCTAATTAAAATTTTAAATTAATGTACCAGACACTGGAATTCGGAACTGTACGTCCGGTATTTGTATTGCTACTACCTAAATCTCTTCCTACATTGTAAATTTTATCCTACTTTTCCTTTAAGTCATGTTTAAAGTTACTAAATTTCATTGATATAGATAACTTTATTGATTTCATATCATAGTACAAGAATGAGCTGTAATTTTTGGAAGTATGAGTCAGAAATACACTTTCCTCTTTTACTTAAATTTTAAGAAATTTTACTTAGACTTTTCCCATGAAGCTTCGTGAAAAAAAAGGGGGAAGCGATTTATAAAATTACACACATCATTCACGAAATATCAATGACAAGGAAGAAAAATTTAATAATTAAAATAAATTTGATCAGATTCAGAAATCAACTTAGGAATAAAAATTTCATTCCCAAAAATAACCCAATTCAAATGCGAAAAAGATTGTCTATCATGCAATTTTGAAACAACATATTTAATTTTTTACATACATAAAATAAAATGACCACGCTCGATTCCAAGGAAATTCGAACACTTTTCCCTGAAATTACTACATTTGAGGATGTATTTCCGCTGGAGGAAGAAAACATTCGAAGTCACCCTTGGTTTGAGACGAGCAATTATGAGACAGAAAAGGAAAGTAATATTCGAATCAAATGACAGAAATTTCTTTCTTCCGTTCGGAAGTATGTTTTCCGGTGATGTCATACGAGCAGAAGATAATGGCTCGTCATGTATATATACGATCGAGTGGATGGCGGTGACAGTTAATAAACAGATTCTCCTTCCGAAAGGTGCTTATCGGATTATTCAGTACCCACTCTGAGCACAGAAAGGTAAAGCTGTATTAATAACATGAGTTTCAAATCCCTCTATAGATATAAATGGAAATATTATTTTCAAGTAATATATGTAAATTTATAATCTTTCGCATAATACTGAGATTAAGTATGTCATGATAAATTAATCTTTCGAAAATAAATGAGGACATTATTTCCTTCTGGAAAACTAAATGACGGTATTTAGTTATTTTACTTCATTGCAAGATGGTTTCGCATGCTCTGCAAAAAGTTCCAAAGCATCAAATTCATAATCGTATTTTACTAGGAATTCGTACGTATGTTTATGTATATATTTGTACAGTCAAATTTTGTTAAGCAGCTATGACAGGGCATATATCTTTAGTTTCTTTCTTTAATTTAAATAGTTTGCATGTTTTAAATTTTTAATTAATTTTCCTTAATTTTTTCCAGTGGATTTGTTTTTTAATGTTTATTATTAATAATCATTACTATTGTAATAAATTAAAATTTCATTTCACACTTAGCTTAAATGTTTCCATTCTGATAATTAGAATTAAATTTTATAGTTAGATAATTTAATAATTAAAATTTTTTTTAAAAAATTGATCATAATTAGACATGAGTTTCCATAGTAACTCTTGCAGAAGCATTTATTGCATTTTTACTTCCAATTTTAACGATAAATAATTTTGTATAACAATAATTTAACGATATTTTTACTTTTGTATCAACATTTTTGTTCTTTAAAGCAAGAAGTTATTTTACAAAATTTGATCATAATTAGACGTGATTTTCCATAGTAACTCTTGCAGAAGCATTTTTTGCATTTTTACTTCGAATTTTAACGACAAGTAATTTTGTATAACGATAATTTAACGATATTTTCACTTTTGTATCAACACTTTTGTTCTTTAAAACAAGAGATTAGTTTCAGTCTAACCTGTTACTACTATAATGGTATATTCTCATGGCTTTCTCAAAATGCTTGCAATATTAGGCAAATTTAATGCAAAACTATTAAAAATCGTAAGAATATTTTTAAAATCATATTCTATTTAAAAAAATTCTTTTGCAACTAATAAACCGGAAATGGCCTAAACTATTATATTTATAAAACGTTTGAAATTTGATAAATTTGAAACTGTTTATTTGAGGAGAACAAACCGCCCACCTGACCACAAGTGGCTCTATAGCTTAAGCAGGTTACCCAATTATAGATACAATCTCAGACAGTTGACCGATTATTGCTGATATAATTCATATCCTTTATAAATAAAATTCCCACAGTTGATCGATTATCGTTGATATAAGTCGTATCTTCTGTAAGTAGAAATCCCACAGTTGATTAATTAATATTGATATAATTCATATCCTTTGTAAGTAGAATTCCCACAGTTGATCGATTATGATTGATATAACGCATATACTTTGTTCATAGACTTTTCGCCTGGTCAAAATCTAATAAAATCCATTCCACGTTAAAAGTTCCGTTCAAAGTAAAATCTTTCCTTATATCTTTTAAAAGTGGACAGGTCTCCACGAAGTGTTTAGCATTTCCAGTTTTATTGCAGTTTCCGCAGTCGGGATTTTGAAGTTTAAAGGTTTTAAAATAAACAGCAAAACTGCCATGACCGGTTAAAATGTGTTTTAAATCCATGTCACTATATGTTTGCCCTTTTGTATTGTTACCAAACTCGTGTAGTTTTTATTTTTGTCCTGCATTTATCATTTTCTTTCCATAATTTGTAAATGTACTTCTTCATATGGGTCAAGGCCTTCCTCTTCGAAGCCTGTAGCTCAATGCAACCTATACATTTACAAACACCCATGCCTTCTCCGTTATTCGGACACGGGCTCTTTGCTACGCTGCAGGCTCTGATGACCACTATACCGCCTAGGCCAAAATACCATGTAATAAAAGCAAAATGTATTATTTAAATCCTTTTCCTCATTTTAAATTTAAATAACACTGTGATCACCATCAGCTATCACACTGCTATATCTACCATAAATTACGAAATTATTTTTAACTGAAAACCTGTAATAATATTACGATAAATCATCAACTTTTAAACACAAATAACAACTTTTCTGTATTAATAGTATATCACACGTGCTCACGAATTCGATAATTAAACTGAAGAGTAGAATTCATATAAATTAATACTTACACATAAATTAATATAATGCTAACATTAATTTCTATATAATGTTAATTTTAATTTCAATACAAACTTAATTTTAATTTCAGTATAATGTTTATATTCATTTCAAACTCAAAATTTGTACATTAAAAGAAATCCTCCAAGAATGCATAGATGATCACTGCATATATTCCTTTAACCATTCTACTAATTACAGTATCGAAGGATAATTCGATTTAGTCATCAATATGTTTTATTTATTTGCATCCTGTTGTATATAAAGAATATTTTAACTTCTGGAACATAAAAACGCACATTTAACTAGGCAAAATTTGTTAGATAAAACGTATTTATTTTTATTTATCTTCCGAATATAGAGTATTTTATTTTCAAAATGTGTTCACAAGAATATGAACATAGGAAAAGTTTTGATTACTCTAAATATGTTAATTGGAAATTTTTAGTTAGTTGAATATATTTAAAAAAAATTTCTTTTCTTGATACAGAAAATAATACCTTTAATAATATTAATGAAATATTCAATAATTCAATAATATTCAATAATTCAAATCTCTTTGGAGGAAACTGAAACTTTTTTTGCGTTTATATCTAATAAGGATTAATCAATAGTCTCGCATATTATCCGAAAACTTTAAAATTGAAAGGTGTAAATTCAAAGAAATACAATGTCATCTTATTGAGAAAATTTCAAGCTAAATATGAAGATGCATGCATTGTAAAAATAGAAGTAGATGACGAAGAAAAAGAGTGTTTTCTTAAGAAATGTTATGGAGACGTTTCTGAGATAAACAGTCAAGAAAATTAACAAAGGAAATTAAACATTCATTTATAAAGGTATGATGGGTGCATAACATAGGTATGAATTAGGAGCTTAACATCATTTTCAGTGTAAACTATTCAGTTTTTCTTGTAGTTCTGAAAAATCCTTAAACGAAGTATAGCTATTTTGTTTTTTGATTTTGCAGGGTCTGTTTTATATCAAAAAACCAGAAAAAGTGCTCTTTCTAGCAAGGGTTTAGAAAAGATAAACCCTTTGATTGTATATTTGAATAAATGTAACTTTACATATTTTCAAGAGGGAAATGTTTATCCCTTGAATCGTTTAAAAATATATAATAATTTCGTTTTTTGTTTGGTCTAATTTGATATTTTTTTAATTTCGGAGGTGTGAAAAAATGTTTAAAACTCACGCTGTTTTTATAACTATTTTTATTATTTTTTTAATCATTTCTACATTAAAATTTGTTATCAAGTTTTGAGAGGGCTTTAAAAGGGATTAAAATGTTTATAATGAGCATCATTTGAAAAGGATCTAACCATCGGTACCATATAGACCTAAGAAGTTTAAAATATTGGATTTCATTTAATTTATCGCCTTGGAGATAATATTCTGGGGTCAATGTTTCAAAACAAATTATATTTATTATTTTTTTTGTCTCATTGCTAATTTTTCGATTTGGGGAGTTGGAAAAAGTTTAAAAGTCACTCTGTTTTTATAACTTTTTTAAACCTTTTTTTAAACCTTTTTTTTTTTTTTTTTTTTTTTTTTTTTTTAAGATTTGGTCTCAGATTTTAAGTACGTTTTAATTGCGGTTAAAATGTAAGCGGCGTATATCCCATACCATCGGACACAGTATTTCCCATACTATCGGACACATGACAAATTTGCCATTCCTATAATATGGGACGTATGCTGATGTCTATTTCGTTCTCGCGATAAACCGAAATCCGATATTATCTCCAAACTGTACAGATCGTGAACCAAACTTGCTTTATACTCAAAATATTATTACGTTTTTCTTTTTCTGACACCAGTTGTTACGTTATTTTCTTCCTTCACGTTCGTAAGGGGTTCGTGAGGATTTGGAGTGAATAATGACAATACTAATTGATGAAGTATCGAAACACACTTTATTGGCCAGTGTCGTCAGGACAGCGCCAAAACATGTTTTTACAGTCGTCGATGAACTACTATAAACACGCTGACACGATCAGTGACACAGCCTCCAGGTTATCAGGCTATCACGGTGGAGACAGCTTCACGGCAAAGCACTAGAGTACAGCTCCCGACTCTGCTTGGTCGTTCTTGGAACTCCACGTACTTTCGAGACTCTCCACGCTACAACTCGCGATGCCCTCGACGACACTCAGAGCATAGCTCCCGACTCTTCGGTCGTTCCCGAAGTTCAACAAGCTCTATCGACGATGCACTAACCGCGATACACTACGAGACTCTTTCGGTGCGCTCGACGACCCACTCGGCACTCGCTGCCCGGCTGTCAACTCGAGTGACTCGCTAGACGAGACACCAACTCAATACTATCTCGCACTTTACGAGGCACTCTCCACTCGCCCTCTCGACGAGGCACACACACTAACTGACTGCGCACCAGCAGGTTTTATATAGCTTTCGGCTTGTGTTTGAGGACAATCTGGGCTAAACCGGTAAGAATTCGTTCCAGAAGGTTCTCCATCCGTCCATGGTATATCGCCAATTTTATTGCCAAATGGGCGATTTCTAGCCAAATGTGGCAACCCTGTCTTCTTATGCCATTTTATGGCAACTCTAAAACTGCTTTGCGGGGAAGCTATCTTACCGCGCCTGTACATTTCGTAACAATATTAAACTCAGGCCGTATTTCCTCGCACATTTCAACTCCCACCTTAGCCTTTTTAGTGACAAGTTTTGAAACGTTTAAACATATTCGCGTAATTTGACCCTTCCTCAGTGCGTTCGGAGAAGCAGCTCTCCTAAATTTTAAAATGGATTCTTCCACATAAGGAATGCTTTTATTTTTCTAACGAAGACAAACTCTCGTAAACTACCTGCAAATGCTAGGCCGAACTCACTGTTCTAAATGCTGAATTTTCTTCCAACCTAATACACAGATCGACACATCGCAGCGAAGTAAACACAAACTGCTATTCAGTCTACGAATTTTGCTAAGTCATATTCTCTAAGTATTTATGGATGACTTAAGGCCTAAGACGTAGCAGACATGGCAATAAGTCCGGTAAGTTTCAAATTACAAGTAAGTAGAAAAGAAGATTATTAGATACTGTAATATTAATATTACTCTATATTCTTATTGGGATGTCGGTTTTTTTAAAGAAATAATACTGTGGTTCATACGGTTACCGGTAG